CCTTATGTTCCACACATGAGTGAAACCATATGATAATTGTCTTTCTCTGCTTGACTTATTTCACTTAGAATAATCCCCTCCAGTTCCATCCATGTTGATGCAAATGGTGTGTATTCGTCCTTTCTGATGGCTGAGTAATATTCCATTGTATATATGAACCACATCTTCTTTATCCATTCGTCTGTTGAAGGGCATCTCGGCTCCTTCCACAGTTTGGCTATTGTGGACGTTGCTGCTATGAATATTGGAGTGCATGTGCTGCTTCTTTTCACTACATCTGTATCTTTGAAATACCTTGTAGTGCAATTGCTGGGTCATAGGGTAGTTCTATTTTTAACGTCTTGAAGAACCTTCATACTGTTTTCCAGAATGGCTGTAGCAGCTTGCATTCCCACCAAGAAAGTAAGAGGGTTCCCCTTTCTCCACATCCTCGCCAACACTTGTTTCCTGTCTTGTTAATTTTTGCCATTCTAACTGGTGTAAGGTGGTATCTCATTGTGGTTTTGATTTATATTTCCCTGATGGCTAGTGATGTTGAACATTTTTTCATGTGTCTGTTAGCCATTTGTAGTCTTCTTTGGAGAAGTGTCTGTTCATGTCTTCTGCCCATTTCTTGACTGGATTATTTGTTTTTTGGGTGTTGAGTTTGAGAAGTTCTTTACAGATCTTGGATACCAGCCCTTTATCTGTAATGTCATTTGCAAATATCTTCTCCCATTCCGTGGGTTGCCTCTTAGTTTTGTTGACTGTTTCCTTTGCCGTGCAGAAGCTTTTTATCTTGATGAAGTCCCAAAAGTTCAGTTTTGCTTTTGTTTCCCTTCCCTTTAGAGACATGTCTTTTTTTTCTTCAAAGATTTTATTTATTTATTTGACAGAGAGAGACACAGCGAGAGAGGGAACACAAGCAGGGGGAGTGGGAGAGGGAGAAGCAGGCTTCCCGCAGAGCAGGGAGCCCGCATGGGTCTTGATCCCAGGACCCCGGGATCATGACCTGAGCCGAAGGCAGCGGCTTAACGAACTGAGCCACCCAGGTGCCCCAGGACTTTTTTTTTTAATGCACTTGTTGACTATCCCATTCTCTTCCCACCATCCTTTTTTTTTTTTTTAACCTTTTTTTAGTTCTAGTCACAGATTGTAGGTTCCCTTAAAACCTCAGCTGAGGTATTATTTTTTCTTTTTGCACATCAATTTTAAAAATGCAAGATTTTTTTCAAAAGTGGAGTGAGTTCAGATCTTTTGACATCATTTGGTATTAAAATGATTAAAATCATTGGGGCTTTTTTTTCCCCCTTTTCATTTCCCCTCAACTATAGTAGTTAATTTATAGTTAGGCATTCAGAATAGAATATTTCAGCAAGAAACACTCTTCTGATGGTTATATTTTTCAACCTTTTTACTGCAATTGCAGTAACATACAATTAGTGACAATTATGCTTTGTATAGTATGAAATATATTTTCATTTTGATCTTTAGTATAATATGTATGGCAAGTTCATTTTCCCTGTTGAGCTCACTTGCTACTTTCACATGAGGAACATGTATTCCTTTCCTCTATTCCGATTATCTTTTACTCTATAGGGAGTCTTGACAGGGCTAGAATGATCTAAGGAGAATGATTATACTACATTTAACTAAAGTTGCCATTTTAGCACTGTAGCTATTTTTTGAAAGGATTCATTCAGAATATTTCTGTAAGGGAAATAGAGATTAGGCCAATTTTGTCCTTCTTTTCATCATCATCATCTTCATCATCATCAAATAAAATGTGTAAGTTTCCTTGTGCCCAGCAGAATCACATGTGACTTAAAAATTATTTATTTGTACTGATTCTTATTGGTGGCTCCAAGAACAGCCAGAAATTTAGAAACACCAATCTCTGGAAATCTCTCTTTAGAAATCATGATTGATTGGATTCAAAATCTTGATAATCTCTAGTTCTGAGGACATGTAGATACCATCAGAATCAGAACTATACCCAAGGATTCAGTTCTATCTCTCTCTGATGATAAAACTCAATTGATGAGATGGTAAAAACAGACACAGAGACACAACCCGTAGGCTGCAGTATTACTGGCAAATGTGGCCCATTAGGACTGCCATGTTTTGTTTTGTTTTATGTGTTAACCAACATCAACAAAGATATTTTAACTGGAAATCTGGATTCCTGACTCCTACTGAAAAATCAAAATCCTGACATCTCTAGGTTTCCATTCCTACAAGGTAACCTGGGACTGTTGCACAATCCTTACCCTTCACTCAAGTACAGTATACATATTTAGACGGCTTGTGTCATGTATTTTAATAGGCATTCCATTTGCAACTGTTAAACACAAATATCCAGTGCAGGCTAATCGGGTAACACGTGGCCTGGAAGGTGTTGTGACTCTAAAGTCCCTGAGTCTGTTTCCTCATCTGTTCGGTGGGGTTGAATAAACCTCTTGATGATCTCCCATGATAGTTGTGACTTTCAACTGAGAAAATGCATGTAAAAACACCTTGAAGTGCTACAAGTGTAAAAACATATTAATTATATCCATATGTAAAAAAATAGACATAATTTGTCAACTAAATCTTTGAGTGCCCTCTGCCGAGAATAGTATTGACACCATGGAAGGAGTAAATAGAAAAAAGGAACCTCTCCCTGATCTGAAGCAGAAAGATTTTATTTCATAGGCTGGTATCATGGGAAGAGCCTGGTACTGAGTTAGAAGAGCTGCATCAAAGTCCTGGAGCTGTGTACATGTCAATGAAACTTCATGAATCTCATTTTCTTACCTATAAAACATGGAAGACAGGACCTGCAATCTAAACTCACAGGTGTGTGGTTGGGATTAAATGAAATAAAGGATGTAAAAGTAATTAATAAATGATATTATTCTAATGAAGGCAATAATTAGTACTTAGTGATAAAATATGAACACATACAATGGACTAAGAATATTTACAAGCCTAATATTTGCACACCTTAAGAGTTTGAAGAGATGACAAAGTAGTTTTGTTTTTTTTTTTTAAAGGAAACTCTACCCCCAAGGTGGGACTCAAACTCACTACCCTTGACATCAAGGATAGCATGCTCTGCTGACTGAGCCAGCCAGGTACCCCGACAGACTAGTTTTGAATTAAATCAGAGACTGGGCCTATTTTGCTAATTAAAATAAGCTTGCTATTTGTGTTTTATATCCAATGCATGCCTTTGTTGTGAGAGGGATTGGGTATTTCACATGTTCTTCAGATTACTTACTTCAATACATGATGTAAAGTTAAATTCAGAAAGAGTGCAAAAAATGTGTTATGATTTTGCGATACAAAAAATCACAGGACATTTATTAGAGCTGGAAGGAATCTTTGAGATGATATTTTACAAAGCAGAAAACAGAAGAATAGAGGATTTCTGCAAGTTTTCAGAGCCATGAAGTTCCAAAGCCAGAACTCAAAACCAGGGTTTTGGACTCCAGTGTTCTTTCTGCTATACACCACTGATGCTGGCGCAACTTCTGACTAGTGGTACTGAATGGAATCACTGGATATTTCGATAATCAGATTAGGTTGGAAATGTAGGGAGGGAAAGGAAAGGAGAAGTGTTAAGATGACTGTGAATTAGTAAGTAGGTTTAAGGGAAAACTCAGCTCCTCTAAAGGAAAAAAAAAAGATTTTGTATTCTTTTCCACACCGGTAACCCCCTCCCCATTCTACCCCTTCCGCCCTTCTTTCAAAGCCTGGTTACTATCTTTACATTCTCAGACGTGTCTTAAACTTTTGCATGCCCTTGCAATCCTGGGACACTGGTGAGAGTCCTTCTCTGATCAGCACGCCAGAGGAGAACAGCTCCTCCAGGAAAAGGAAAACTTCCCAAACCCCCAGTCAGGGAGAGAAAGAATGCGGCCGCCGGGACAAAATTTGTACCTGAGGCCTAGAAATCACCCCACCCCCCATCCCAGGCCCTCCAACATCTGAGAGCTTGAAGTTTTCTTCCCTCTATTCCCACAGCCCCAAGGGAACTGTCTTGAGTTCTCGTTACAAAGAGGTTTAGGGCGTGAACTAGGTCGTTCTTCCAAGTGTCTGGAGGTGGGCTGCCTCTGGAATTAAATTTTCCCTCTCCATTAGCTTCCAGTTTTCCTCTTCCCTTCTTGGTTCTGGAGCGGCAGAGGCATCCGCGTGCTCCGAGGCTCGTTCGGAATTGGTGCCCCGAGGAGGCTTTTGGGAGGTCGGTGGCTGGGCCGGGTCGCTAGTGCCCGTGCTCGTTCTCTTGCAGTTGGCGAGAGTTCTTGTTGGCCTATGGGGACGGGTGTCTTTCGCGGCCCCCCCCCCCCGCCCCCCACACCGCGTCCTGCCGCCGGGGAGGGGGTTTCGGAGACCCGGAGAAAGGCAGGCAGGCAGAATGCGGGCTTCACCAGAGTCGGGCTGCCAGGCTTTCCACTTCCTGGCCCCAGAAAGCCAAGGGCTCCCAGCTTCCCCCAGCAGCCCCCCACCGCCGCCGCCGCCGCCGCCTTCCCCAGCAGCGGCTGCTAGATGACGGCGCCGTCACTGGTTGGATTGGAGCTGGCGGCTCAGACGGGACACCGGCGTGGGGGAGTGGGGGAGGGAGGGAGTGTGGGCAAGGGGGAGGTCAGCTCTGGGCGGGCGCGCCGGGGACCCTGCGCTGCCCCCTCCAGCAGCTGGAGCGGCACAGCAGCATCAACAGTCGCCGCCGCAGCCACAGCGGCCACAGCGGCGCGAGC